CCATCGGTAATTGACAATTGAACCCAGTTTGTACTTCCTAGCACATTGATTCTCACTTTTTAGAGATTTGATTTGAAAACTGTGTTCTGTACTCATCCAACTTGCCCATAGCCTTAAAGTACAAGCACCTTTACAACACAATACTAAAGCCTCTTACTGTCATTCTTTTCGAACCATAGTTGATAGCCATTCTTAACAACATAATTACATATATAACATGCTCTTAAGTTGTTTTGGATTCACAAATCTCATGCCAAAAATTGGTACTTGCTTCTTCCAGTGTACCTGAGGATTAAAGATAGGATGTTCCTCAAGAACATCATTGTCCAATTCCTCAACATTATCCATTTGGGTCTCAACATTTTTCTTCTCCGCCTTCTGGGCATAACTTGTTAAGAAACTCATCGTCCTTGGTATTCTTTAGAGGGGTACAATATTCCCCATTGATTTCATCATCCAAACCACCATCAAACATATAGGCTAGTTCAGGATCAGGGATTCCTTGTAAAGGTTCTTTGTCATCCCCCTGGATCACTGAACCACTTTCTTCATCGAACTAGTCCTCAAATCCTCCCCCAATATGATCTAAATACAGGTCTATTGGCCTTTCTAGTGCTTGATAAGCAACATCGATAAACACTTGATAATCTATTTTGTTGGCTATTACTGTAAGACCATTTGTCATAGTTTGATCACGTGTTGAGTAATAAAGTTTCTCAAAAGGTTCTCCAACAAACCTTTCTAGAAATTCACAACACTCATGTAAATCCATTCCAAAGAAATCATGATCAGTAAACATGAACTTATCACTTTCAGTATATCTATGTGGGTGTCTTGTAAAAACACTGTTATAGTGCAAATGCACTTTCAAGAAAATAGGGTTTGGGTTCGCCATGAACTTTAACTACAAAAGAACGCTAGAATCTTGAGCACTTCAACATGATTTTGATAAACAACTCGCGTAAAGCCCTTTATTAAACAATTATACGAAGGCAAAGTTGACGTGTCATTGATGACATGTCATTTAATTGAAAAAATCGTAAGTCTAAAGGTCACGTCACATTTAATTACCGGGTGACCGACTCATATGGTATGATCGACAAGTAATTTGTCACTTTAGTGAGGTCAGAGGTACGGAAATTAGTTGAATGAGCTTTTAAAATCAAATGAAAAATATTATTGTGCTTCTATGTCATAACCCAAAAATATATATTGTTTTCTAATAATATATAGTGTATAGTGATCAATAGGATGATGAATATGTTTATCTCAAAATATTAGACATAAAAGAATATATAAAAATCGTTTAAAACGAACTTAAAATTGCATCTTACCAAATAATACCTTAAATGAATTTGATGGAATCCAATTCCATAATATATGGATCCTAATGTATCTCACGTGTCGCTCATAAACATTCTTGAATTCTCCTGACACAAAACAAAACTGACAACAATCTATCTAGGATCCATGTCGCGTCGTAATTTTACAGACAAAGGCAAAGAAAGGTTTCTATCTCGAAAGGGTTACTCGGAATTTGGTCTTTTGAATGAATCCTTTCGCACGACCAACAACGAAGATGCTGCGGATTGGTGGAACGATGTTCGACTGTTCTTTGTTAACGTTTACCAGATGGGTCGCTCCGATCCCAGACATTTCATCTTTGCTGCTAAATCCGGATTGGCATTTGCTATCGTTTGTGTTCTTATATTCTTCAAAGAACCCTTTAATTATGTCACTCAGTATTCCATCTGGGCAGTCATAACCGTCATCCTCGTCTTCGAATTCAGCATAGGTACGTAACTAATTAACCCTTATAACTTCCTCTTTCCAAGAACTTAATCGCCATTTTCGGATTTGTATCATTATCATTAATTAATTGTTCGATATAGTTTGTTCTGCTGGATAAAATATGGTCGTCAATGGCATTCCCTTGTTTCGTTTGATCTGATTAAACTTGATTGAATTCATATAGGAGCAACACTTAACAAAGGATTTAACGTTGCTTTGGGTATGTTATCTGCTGGCGTGCTTGCCTTAGCTATCGCCCAACTATCCATGTGGGCTGGGGAGTTGCGAAAGATTGTAATTGTGATCAGCATCTTTATAGAAGGTCGATTTAAGCACCCTTTTCATATATAATTTCCTTCACTAAAGTCTAAACTTTATTCTATACATCTTGGTTCTTTTTCCTTTTGTGTTTCAGGCTCGATATCAAGCCATATCAAACTCTATCCGTCAATGAAGCCATACGAATACGGGTTCAGAATCTTTACGTTAACATTCTGCGTAGTACTTGTGTCAGGGACTTCACATATTGACCAAACAGTTCTTTCCCGTTCGTTGTTAGTTGTCCTTGGGACAGGTGTGTGTTTGGTTGTTAGTATATGCGTTTTTCCAGTTTGGGCTGGTGAAGATCTGCATAAATTGGTGGTGAAGAACTTTAGGGGGGTTGCTACTTCCTTAGAAGGTAAAAATCTTTTCCATTTTTGACTTGATAAAACCATGTAACGATTTAAGCAATACATTAACTTTTATAGGATGTGTTAGCAAGTACCTTCAACATTTCGGATATGAAAGAATACCTTCAAAAATCTTGGTATATCAAGCCTCTGATGACCCTTTGTATAGTGGATATAGATCGGCAGTACAGTCATCAAGTGAAGAAGAGACTCTGGTATATATATAAATATACGGGTTTGTTGTTTGTTTACAAATTAAGTGTGAATGTTAATTAATACGCCATTAGCCAACAAGTAGTTTACTTTTTGCAGATGGGATTTGCTGTTTGGGAACCACCACATGGACGTTACAAGATGTTGAGGTATCCATGGAGTTATTATGTGAAAGTTAGTGGTGCGCTTAGGCATTGTGCGTTTATGGTGATGGGAATGCATAGTTGTATACTTGCAGAAATACAGGTAACTTTTCTTCTTGGCCTAGATTTATGATTTGAGGATCTTTATAGATGGAGTTATGTTTTTGTTCTACTTCCGAAAGCATAGTTAGTTAATGTAGAACAAACATATGAAAGTTTAAGTTCCTATTGCAAGATCTAAAGCCTTCATTTGTCTTTTCCATGGCGATATATAGGCATCTGCTGAACTAAGAAACATGTTCCAAAACGAGATCCTGAAAGTAGGCACAGAAGGCGCAAAAGTCCTACGTGAGCTAGGAAGCAAAGTGGAAAAAATGGAAAAACTAAGCCCCGATGTCGACCTGCTCTTGAAAGTTCACGAGGCTGCGGAGGAATTACAATTGACGATCGACCAAAACTCTTATCATCTCATCAACTCCGACAAATGGGAACCCGGAAGACAAACAAAAGGGTTTGAAGATCCCGATATTTTCCAAGAACCAAAAGAAGACGAAATCAAACCAAAACTACTTGTCAAATTCCGCAGTGAAACAAACCTAAACCAGCTACACCTAAACCGAAAACCGCCTCTTCCAACCAAATCCCTAGACCGTAAGACTCCAAATATGTCCCGTCAGCCGTCCATGGTGCATTGGGGATCGTCAGTAGATGTGGTAAAGAAGCAGGCCCGTCGTCCCGCCATTGTGCATTGGGAAACGTCGGTAGATGTGCTAAAGAAGCAGACCAATCAACCTTCCATGGTGGATTGGGAATCGTCAGTAGATGCGCTAAAGAAGCAGACGCAGTGGCCTTCACGTTTATCGATACATGGTGACACGATTCTTAATGTGCGTGAAGTGAAGACTCACGAAAGTGCCAAAGCCTTGTCTCTTGCAAATTTTACTACTTTGTTGGTTGAGTTTGTCGCAAGACTTCAGAATCTTGTGAACGCGTTTGAAGAGCTTAGCGAGATAGCAAAGTTTTCTGAACCTGTTAACCATCTTGAAGCGAAGGAGACGGTGGGTTTCTGGACAGGAGTACTCAAGTGCGTCGGGATCAAGGATTGAAGTGATGAACAACATAGTAGCCTTGAAGTAAGAGCATGTTTGACTCAAAACTCCTTTGTCATATATGTTAATTTTAAGCACCAATTAAATATTTTCTTCAATATATTAACCACCAAATTAAATATTTTCTTCAAAGGTTAATCTGTTTTTAGAGTTATTTTTTTACAAATTCAACTAAGATGCTATAAAACTTTACTGTTTGGTTTTTTTATTTTAAACATATCATATTTTAATACAAAATATTTAATAAAAAATAGTTCTAAAAAATAAGTTGTAAAAACATTCAAAGTTTTGTATTTCATAATCTTAAATTTCGAGTGTAATTAAATAAAAAAAAGCATTACAAATATAATCATTATAAATTTTATATATATTTCATAAATAAAATATCTTTATATATTTAATAGATTAACTAATTAATAATGAAATAGCAAGTATTTAAAACTTAACTATAGTTAACTAATTAGATTTACAAAACATATATTGATTGGTCAATGGAGAAAAAAAAAACAAAGTTCAGAAGTTGATGTGCGAAATTTCATACAAGAAGTCAAGGGTTGAAACTTTGTCAATCCAAAATATTTTTAATGTCTAGCAACATAGTCATTGAGATGGTTTGACGTAGGATGTTCAGATAGCGTATTTTACTTTACTTTTTAAGTTTGCTCCAACAATATTGGATTTTGATAAGTGCTAAATCAAATAGTAACTAATAATATAATAAAGAACCCTCATTGGAAATGCTCTAACATTGGCAATTATAGTAGAGGATGTCGCTTCTGTGTGAGTAGAACTTGAATGTTGATGTTTGTGTTATTGTCATTTGTTTTGTGTAGAGATACAGTATCGGGGAGGAAAAATGGACCTTCTCCGTACAAATATTTTAGTTATCATTCATACATTCAACCTCTTCGTTTAAAAACAAAAACCTTATTCCAGGTTCTCATAATGATTCAAAAGAAGTGAAGTTGTCAAATAATTTAGAATGTAACATGCATTTTCTTGGAGAAAATAAAATGGAATTCAATTCCATTTCTATGTATACATATTCTTGGTTTATAAATTTGTTAAAAATAGTTAAAATGTAAATGATGAAAGCATTATGTGGTCGTAGACCATCAATAAACAAAAGCAAAAGAACCATAACCAAAATTTCATTAATGGAACAATTGTATCCTACTAGAGGGCCCAAAATGCTAAAATGCATCCATGTCTTCTACAGATTCAGCACAAAATATAAAAATTCAACTCAACATTGGAGTAATCAAAGATATTAAAAACCCTATTGCACTCATCTTGTTCTTCAGCTGTCACCAGGAAGAGACTTGATGATATCAGAATCACCTGATAATCACAATAAAAAAAAATATCAAACACATATTTAACATACATAAAAAAACGGTAAATGCAAAAAAAAAGCACATGATTATTACCTGCATCGATTATGCTAAGGCATGACACACGGAAATACTTTCCACAAGCTGTTCCAAGATCCACATTGTCTGAAAAAAAATATTAGCACACGTCAAGAAGGTTAGATAAAAATAGTAACATACACAAAAAAGACACAAATCCACATAAATGTAATCCAATAAAAAGTAAAAAGACTAATAATATGTTGACTTACTTCCATTGTAATGATGAACCCCAACCTTAGCCAACATAGCATAGTACTCGATTTCAGACTTCCTCAGGGGAGGGCAATTGTTTGATATGATGATCAGCTTTCCTGCAGTTTGCATCAAATCAATACAATCACAAAACATTATTGTAAAATTATAATTGAAATATCAGAAATTCTACACTTTTCTTAATAAAATTCTTCTCAGTTATCAGTATAGTCAAATTTCATACATCAAAGCTCAATTGATTGCAAGGAAACTATCAAAAATAAGTTTTTTCTCTTACACTATGTTCACAAATTAGGATTCAGGGGTGTGTGATACACGGATTAAAAATTCAAGATTTTAGAAAACTGATGATATGGGATGAATTTACATTTACAAATCAAAAACCAAACAATTGAAATTTGGGGTATATCTTACATTTTTACTAATACTTTGCATCGACATTACTTTGATCAAAACTATCAGAATGTAACATCTCGTCTAGTCTCTTTCACAGAAATAAGTTTTCAATTCCTTACGAATTCAATAACAAATGTTTTACATTTGAAGAAGGTAAAGATTATCTTTATAGTAAATTTCAAAGGAAATTCATATCAGTTAGAGAGAATAGCGTTACAGTACAAACTAAGATCCTCCATTTATATATAACAAATCATTTTAACAATTGTTACCTTTAGAGCTCCTTAGAGACTCAAGAACAGTCTTGTACCCAAGGGTATACTTTCCACTCTTCATCACAAGAGCCAACCTATTGTTGATGCTCTCATGAGTCTTCTTCTGTAATCGAGAAGAAAGCCCAGATCAGAATCGATAAACGTAATGATCAACAGCAGACATCAATACAAAGAACCATATAGAGATATTAAACATATGATGTGTAATTGTGTATATCTTACCGTCTTCTTCCCTGACACCATTTTTTCTCCTGCAACAGCTAAAAAGTCTCTCTGCGAATAGGTTAACAAAACAATTTAGCTTTCGAGCGAGAATAGCGAATGGTGATGAGGATTAGGGTTTGCTTACGCGGCGGCGAACAAGATGACCCCTTTCAGTTGGTGAAGCCTGAGTGTGCGACTCTTTGAGGTATTTAAATGGATGAACAACTAAGTAAGGGTTTACATAAGCCTGGAAATATTGAGCCCCGGTTTCTAATTTAAAGGCCCAATTATATGAATCATTGAGCCCACTGTTAAAAACTATAAGCGCAACCCATTATAGTTGTTTTGTACTTTTAAGCATGGTGTCTTCTGTACGATTGTATAGGGCTCGTGGAGGAGACTCGATTTTATGTATGTTTCAGTTCAATATCTAACAATCGGCGGCAATGTAGTAATGATAAAACCTTTTTTTTTTTTTGAAATTAAATATTATTCTATCTTTTTTCCTACAAATCCTCTTACCCAATTAAATGATAACATGTGTCATTTTACTATACTAAAATATGATTAAATGAGCATTAAATGTGATACATGTCATCTTTTAATTGGGTAGGAAGATTTGTAGGAACAAAAAATAGAAGGATATTTAATTTCTCTTTTTTTTCTCAATCTCAATAGTTCACACGCTACAATTAAAAATTGCAACAACTCATGTTTGAAAAATTAAACTTAAAATTAAAAATTGCATTTCGACTAATGTAAATTTACGACAAACAAGAACTTACATTTTGTTCCAATTCCAAACTTTTCAATCTGAGACAACTTCAAAGCACAGACGACGTTTTTTTTTTTTTTTAGTTTTCTGATTCCACTAGACTCAACCTCTCATTTTTATTGCATTCTCGTGCTCGTTTTTTATTGTCAAATGAAATTAAACAAGTAATCCACTATTCCTAATTTCTAAATTTGACGGCCTCTCTCGTATATTCTAATTGTTGTCGTTGATTAACGAATGTAACACACTTATTCTAAATGATTGAATTTCTAACTTCACATTAGTGCATTACTTAATTTGAGATATGTTGTGAGTGATTTCTCTAATTACTAATTCCCCTTAGTTTTTGTAATTGTGTTATTGTTTTGTGGCATCTCATAAATCGTTAGAACGACATTTATGACATTCATATTGTTGTTCATGTTATATCATATATAATTGTTAAAAACCCCTAAAGCATCTATTAGGTAGTGAAAAACATGAGAGAGAGAGAGAGAGATAAAGAATTAAGAAGGTCTCATAATGGGGCTCTTGATACGTTAATCCAAAAAACCTCAAATTTCTTCTTAAAATCAAAACAGTGGTGATAATAATGCTGAAAATATGGGTGATGATAGAGATCAAAACTAAATTTATTAAAGTCTTACTCAGAGTCTCCAAATTCACAAGAATACTTAATGAATTAACAAATACTGAGAATGACATATTGGAAAATATTGATTATGAAGAGTTGGGAAGTAATTTTGATTCCAATTCATGTAAGTATGTAAGATTATATATCACGATACATGTAACTATGTAAGATTATATATTGCATTATCATGCTTTTGATTCTATTGTATACATAACATTTATTGAGTTATTGTAGTATGAACATATTTGCATATATATATATATATATATATATATATATATATATATATAGGGACCCATTTTTATTTTCGTACAGTACAAGGCCTTCAAAATCAACGGACGTCTCTGCTTTTAAGACATAAAATTGTAACACCCATAAAAATCATGTCAAATTTAAACTTTTAAAAACATTTCAAAACCATTAACCATTACAAAACTTGCTTTCAAAATGTATCATATCAGAGTATCCCAGAAACAAAGTCCTAAAAAGTGAGGAGCTGTACGATCAAGCCTTTGTATTGTCGCGATCCCTTGATGTACCTGAAACAATAAACTGAAACTGTAAGCCCGATAGCTTAGTGAGTTCCCCCAAAATACCCATACCCACAACCATACACATATAATCATAAACAGCATACTATGGGTCCAGTCAACCATCGGGTTGGAATACCCCAGGCCCTCAACCATCCGGTTGAAATGTCAACATACTATGGGTCCAATCATCATTGGGATGGAATACCCCATGCCCACAACCAACAGGTTGGAATGCCCACATACTATGAGTCAAATCATCCTCGGGATGGAATACTCACGGCCCACAACCAACAGGTTGGAATGCCCAGGTCTATTGGCTTTCGCACAAAGCAGATAAGCCTCAACCGCCAAACAAACATGTGCACATATAACAGATAATCACATAACAGTCTATGGACAAACAAACGATCTAACTGATTGATCGAAGTCGTTCTCTCAATCAAAAATAACCTCAAAAACCACTAGATAGCTAGGGTAAGTAAGGGTCGAATCCACGAGGAGTTTGTGGTCAAACTTTGTGTTAAAATAGTCAACGAAAAACTACTGCTAGCAATTGTCACGAAATTATTTGAACTAAAATTTGATGAAAAAGCTAAAAACTTGGTAATGCAAGAACTACTAAAACAAACTACTATCAATGAGAAAAAAACAAGATACTTCCGGTTCAATTGTTCAGATGGTTAGACTTACACGTTTTTCTTCCCTTAAATTCCAATTTAATTACCTAGACATAATTAAGGTTGATTAACTTGCAACAAATAATTTTGAGCACACAATATGTTATTCCAACTAGTTGTCTTACTCCCTATGTCTAATTGGATTAGGAACAACTAGTGGTTTGGCGATAATGTGTCTTACAATTACCTATTACAATGTTGAGTATATAATACTACAAATTCGGAATAATGTATATGGGTTCAACTAATCATCTTAGTTCCTAAACTACTTGAATTCAGAATGATTAGTGAATTAACAATACACTATCTTAGTTGCAATATCACACAATAAGAAAAACCCAACTCCAATTACCGTAAGTAAAAATCATAACTTTAAGAATGAAACAATAACTGAAATTGACTAGAATAAAAGTAATAATCAAAACGTGTTCATCCTAACATCCTACAACGTTCCCGGAAGTAACCTAGGTGGTTTAGCCTTCCATATGATTAACAAAACACACAACTTCAATATAAATAATGGAATTAATGCTAAAATTCACAAACCAACTTGGAATCATAAAATCAATGAAGTCTAATGATCAATCAACTATGGAACGATGAAACCTTGGGGATGAAGTAATCAAATCTGGAGCTCGATGGAATTGATGTAGATCCGTAGGTTGAACGATCTTCAAACGTTAAATGATAATGAATTTGATGATTTATCGCTTTGGATTTGGAAATTAATGATCAAAAAGTGTTTGGAAAAGGTTTAAACGTGTTTGGAACCCTCCAAAACTGTGGAAAATCGCAGGGGATAAGTCCTAAGTCGATTAGGGTTAAATCTCCTTTAAATAGGTGCTGAAAAACTGATTTTCGGAGCTGTTTTCCGCGTCGACGTCATAGTGGGCGTCTTAGACGTCGTATAGGACATCTGGGCGTCCTTTGTGGCGTTTTACAGGCTTTCTGTCGTCCTTGATTTGCACTTGAAAATGGCCTAAAACGTTAGGCATCTTAGGGGGCGTCTTAGACGCGTTCTAGGACGTCTCTCATCTTTGTTGCCCCTTTTTGGTGATGAAAACGGTAGAATCAGTAAAAGTGCAAAACATGAAAGTTGTAGGAAATTTTGTCTAGTTGCTATAACTTCTTCATTCATGTCAATCGGAGCTCTAGATATTGAGATATGATCAAAACATTAAAGAGTGGTCAAATTTCTCAGCACCATTTTTCTTAATTCTTTTACCAATTCATCTCCCATGCTTGTTAGCTTCCTTTTGTTCATTTTTCTTGCGGGTTCCACCCACTGTTAGTACAATATATTGACCTGCATATGAAGTTCAACAACTCATCAAAGTAGTGTCATTCTTGGACAATTATACATTAATTCAACAGATTTATGACAATTTAGTATATTCTCAAAATAGACTTATCAAACCTCCCCAACTTTATTCCAAACTCGTCCCGAGATTGGCCTGAAATAATCAGCGTAGTCTTACTCTCTTATCTTAAGAAAATCTCAATGGAATCACGAATTCCGTACTTTTTATCACAATATTTTCAATAGCACAATATATTGATTTTGGGGATTATTAGTTTCTTATCCAGACTTTTAAACCCAAAACACATGTTATGCTTATTTTACTTTGTTGTTTGAAACCCTCCACTTTTTTAACCCTTTCCAATAATCAACCTCATGAGTAATCAGTTGAACTCATTGCCAAAGTCCCCTTTTCAAGGTTCACTAACATAGTTAGCGCGGTCGGTAACACTTACTGGACCAACCCATACACTCCCGCTATCGAGGGGTCACGTATTGTTTCACACAATATCTTCAACTTTAACTTTTCTTCATGTTTATCTTGATTGTGCATTCTTCAAGTTCTTTGATTGCTTCATCAGATTTGATCATCTTTGTATTTGACTTGAGCTTGAATATAGATACTTGGAATTTCTTTAATGTATTTTGATGCTTTTTGGTTGTGTGAAAACAATAATAGTCCCCTCCCAACCCCAAAGGCGCAGGAGTAAGTAAGACCAAGTACTTAGAGCGTGATGACACATATTGTTCGGTTGGGTCTTCAATTGAAAGATCGTAGGCTCGAGCCAAAAACCTTCATTTTTCAAACACTTGGGTATTTCACATAACAATTTTTTAAATAAATATAAATATTCTCAAACCGGCTGAGCAACCCACAAAATGAATATTTAATATATATTATGACTCGATATACGAAACTCCTATCATTTTCCATCTTGATGAGTTACATTCAAGATATATAGAAGCTACTAGCTCATCACAAATTTCATGGTGGCCAACCCAAGAGAGAATAATAATGAGTTTAGTATAGCAGTGCATTCATCCTAAGTTGATTATCCAAACAAAATTATCAAAGTTAATGTAAAAGAAATTAAAAACATGGAGGACGACACACCTGATGGTACCGGAGGTAGAAGCGGTTTTGATTCTTGAAAAACTTCACTAGTTGGAGGTATTTGCATAATGTTTCGTTATGCCCAAATAAACATCAAATAATTATGATTTTTTTTAAAAAAAAATCAGTTTTTCTTCAATCATCCGTCTTATTCTTGTGTACACCCCCTCCCCAACTTTAAGTCTTGCATCGTCCTCGATGCATCAAAAGATAAATTCCTAAAACAATAACAAAAAAAAAACTACAAGCACCCAAACCTGAATGATCGGATCGTGTGGCATGCCATCTTTGACCTTGTGTAAATAAACCATTTTGCATTTAATCTTTC